TCCTGGAGGTCCGGTGTCCTGCAGATTTTAGCTCCGCCTCCAACCTCAACACACCTAGGCTAGCTAATCAAGCTTTTACTTGGCTCTCTAGAAACATCCTTGCAGGTGTGTTGAGGAAAGTTGGAGCCAAAATCTGCCGGACACCGGCTCTCCAGGACCGAGTTTTAGAATCCCAGGTGTCCATTGTGTGTGAGTGTGTCATTTTCGTGGCGACCGATAGGTGTCAGCGTTCACTCACAAACGAGCACCACATAAAGCTTCTTCACGGCCAGAGAGACTCGACCACCATACATTCATCCTGAATGAACATTTTTTTCACTGACAACAAAACAACGAGAAGCTGATAAATCACCCAGAGCTGCTGGAGGGAGAGAAGTATACACGTGTTGTTGTTATTTTTATAATGACGGTATAGCAGCGATTAAAACACTTGCACTTTCTCCATATCACTGACACATTTTGGGACTGGATATATTGATAAACGTATCTGCATCGATTAACCGGGTATTCCAAAGTGAATGATTGACTTTTTTTATATAAACGCGAATGTTTATTCGTTTGAAAATTTCTCAGAATATTTTTTTTTCCAACACAGGAAAGCCAATTGCAGCGTTCAACAATTTGGTTACCAACATTCTTTAAAATATATCTTTCAGCAGAGACAAGAGGCTTCATACAACACAAGGGTATGTTAATGATAATTATGTTTACATTTTGTTGCTATTCCTTGAAAACTTGCAAAAGTTTTTTTTTTCACATACAAATGAAACATTGCTGGTTTTGAAGTGACTTAAAAAATTATGAATTTGCAGACTCGTAATGCAAAAGCAATTTTATTAGGGTGAAAATGTTATAAATGTTGACAATTCTCATTAAATTCAACAAATCTTTATTTCTATAGCGCTTTAACAATGTAGATTGTGTCAAAGCAGCTTAACATAGAAGTTCTAGTAAATGGAAACGGTGTCAGTCCAGTTTTCAGAATTCAAGTTCACTTTAGTTCGATTCAGCATGGATTACAATTCACTGCTGAAAGTCCAAACACTGACGAGCAAATCAATCAATGCGCAGCTTCATAAGTCCCAAACCAAGCAAGTCAGTGGCGAGAAAAAAAATTCACCAATTGACAAAAGTGAAGGGAGAAAAAAAAAACTTGAGAGAAGCCAGGCTCAGTTGGGCACGACCATTTCTCCTCTGGCCAAACTTGCGCAGAGCTGCAGTCTAGGCACCGGAGGCTGAGAATGCTGGACATCCATTGGTTTGTAGGTTACCCACGGGTGTTCAGGCTGGCCCATGGCATCAATGCAAAGACTCATGCTCTCTGCTCTTCTATGACCGCCACAGCATCTGCTCAGGATACAGCCTGGTCCAGGGTTATGGATACCTTGGCAGCATCTCTTCATAAGGTCTTGGATCACATTTGTGGTGCTGCACAATCTTTAGAGGCCTCGAGTTGAGTATCCTCAGGTGGAAATAGAGAATAAAGAAAATAATGAGCAGAGCTGCTGTTCATAGTGTATTTAATCGAGAGATATTAAATATTAATGCAATAAATAAAACTAGTAGTTATATAAACAAACATGTAAAGCATATCACTTACTACTTATACGTAGCTTAATTAAAGGGATAGTTCACCTAAAAACTTCAATTGTCATCATTTACTCACTGCTAAACACAAATGAAGATTTAGGAAAAATAGAGGTTGCTGTGACCCATTGACTTCTAGCATTATTTTGGGTGAACCTTCCGTTTAAGCACGAAAGAAAATGAGTTTGCACATGATGTTTCATTACTGTAAACTGTTAAAAATAAATAAAGGAAACAATTAAACAACACAATGTAACTCCAAGTGTTCCCTTTATTTTTTTGAGCAGTACATTTCATTAGGGGAATTACCAACCCATGTCACACACATTCAATCGTGCATACTGGTTGAAAAAAAGCACTGTTGCAATTGCAAACATGTCATGTTGCGTGGGAGGATGCCAAAATTGAAAATCCGAAAATAGAAAACTTAAATTTTACAGTACACCACACTGCTTTTAATGCCAACCGCAGACATCTTTGGCTATCAGCCGTCAGAAATGCTGAATGGAGTTAAGACCTGATTAAAAATACTCGACTCTGCAGTTCTTATTTTATATCAGTTACGTTCACGCTATGCTGAGTCATACACGTTACTCATTTTTGATTGCAGCAATGATTTCAGCAAAAAAACAGTTAAATATGGTGAATTAAACTGCGGACATTGAATGCTAAAATTAAAATGTACAAATCTGTTAATCATGGAACATTATTTCTAGCACATGACCACACAGAACAAAGTTGTAGGAATCCAAAGACTTGTAGGACCTTACTTTCGCTCTTGTAAAATCATTTGGAGTTTCAGTGAGATTGTGAGTTGTATATTTGGGGCTGGATGCTTGGCCATTTCATCTTATCCGATATTCATTGGGAGGGTGCTATCTGTCAGACAAATGCAGCTCACTTTAGCATTCATTTAAATGGGTGACAAGCTGTTATAATACGCTGAAAGCATTATATAAATAATGTAATCAATATAACTTATCTCTAATACAACAACAAACTCTCTACCACATCGGATGTCATTCCCTTACTGCTGTAGATGCTAGCGCTCCCGGTGGTTTTTTGCAACCTCGATGCGCACACATCCTGAATGTTTACAAACTGGTAATTTACCAATATTATGGAATCTGATTCTTTTGCTTAGTTCTGGACAGTTTGACTCATCTAAATATATACATATACTCAATCTAGAGGAGTTTGTTGTCCCGTTTTCGCCATTACACAACATGCTGTCATTTATCAATGTGGGAACTGGACTCCGGCTCATTCTCAGAAGAAAGAGGGGAAAACTCTGGAATGTTCTTCTCCTCTCTCGTTCTCTTTCACACACGTATCTTATCTGTCTTTTCCTGGCTTGTTTTCGAGTTCCAAGAAAAGTACGACAGCTCTATTTCTCCGCTTAGATTGGTTTATAAATGAGACCACGAGGGTTTTTATTTTTATCATGTCAAACTTTTCTTGGAAGTCAGATTGTTTGAGAATGTGAGAGATGGACAGGTACAAAAGTGGGTTTGGGTACGAGTTTTGCCTGAAGCATTGCCATGACAATTCCTTCTTTGTTTGAGCAGTATAGATGCATTATGTAATCAGACTCTGAGATCATCAGTCGCACAGCTGTTTCTCTCTCCTGAGACAAAGAGACTGATGTTTTCTGCTCAAACATAATTTGATTTATTTTGTTGTTACTAATGTCCTACAAGCCCAGAGCTTTGTCTGCGTTTGGTAACACTGCATTAAGGAAAACATTTAGTTATAAACAGCTGCTTACCCTCATACCTAAACAGTGTACTACTACAGCTACTTCACAGTACTTTTACTTTTTTTATTTGTTTATTTATCATATTTATTTATCATGTTTATTTAGCATATTTATCATAAACTACAAAAACACCTGCAACAGCCCTGTAGACATGTTATCATGGTTTAAACAATATGAAATTTTTTAACTATGCTGAGAACATATTTTTGTTGGTATTACATTTTCAATTCACTATAATGTTCGCTACATTTCCATTTTTTTTAATACCAATTATTATTTTATTAGAAATATATTTTTCCAACATAATACACTGTTTAAATTCTATTGTTATAAAGCATATAAATACTATAAAGTAATTATTTAAAATAATATTAATATGCGGTTCATTCCTCTGTGGCGACTCCTGATACATCAGGGACTAAGCCGAAGGAAAATGTTATTATATTGTTGGTATATTAATAATTTAAATGACAATTTATGTACTTGTAACCATTTATAAGCTTAATGAAATTATTTCACAAATAATACTCTGTAATGTTTTTTTTTTAATTCACTGTTCAAATAAATGTATAAATATCAGCACTAATTAATAAAGTGCTGATATTTATATATATATATATATATATATATATATATATATATATATATACATAAAAAACAAAATATTGCTGTCTGATTTCTCCATTATTATGCAGCCAGTATAAATACACACACACACACATTTATAAAATACTATACCATTTGCACAAACAACTCTGCAGATGTAGTTGTTAATAAATAAATATGTATATATAATAATAACTATTATCATTACATTGACAATAAATAATATTAAAATAAAGCTTAACCTTATAATATGGCCATTTGTTATATAAATAATGCTATAATTGTTTTAAATTTGTATTTTAAAATAAAGTACTATACAACTGTACAGAAATTTAAAATAAATTATGATGGAAAAGCTAATGTAACAATTAATACCCTTGATTAAACAAAAGAACTACAACTGGAAGTCATTCGTGCTGTTTTAATATATTTAATAGTGCATTTTGACCACAATTAATCTGTACAGAAATAACATTAATAATAAAAAAGATAAACAACTTTTCTCATTTCTGTAACTTAGTGTAACATTTACAATAAAATAAGATACGTTAAAAAAAATAATAACATGATATAAGTGATATAAATACAGAGAGGTTTAAATTAACTGTCATTGTCATGCGTTATTCTCTGTTTGGCAGAATAAGTTTAATTTACACACGAGTATGATACACCGTCATAGACAGGCACATAAGTAGTAATAAATCGAGACATCAAACCCAGTCGGTCAATTTTCAGCAGGGTCATCTGAAAACCCAAAACAAAAGGAAATCTGTTGAGCAATCATACAAACTCCCACCCTGATCTGCTCTGTGACCGCAGGCCTGGTTGTAGTTAAGTGTAAATGCAAGCTTTTGTTACTATTTTAGATGTTTACTTCATTTCTGGTTAACACTGACAAACAAAGACATCACTTCTCATACATTCTCTACCATCCTCTTGACAAAATTACCACCTTGGTAGCCCCTATAATCAACCCTAAACATCCAACCCAAACAAAAAAGCTTTTCTTATCCTTTCACATTTTTTGTGACACTCCTCTCTTTATTTTCCCATAGGGTCAAATAGCCGATTGTTTGCAGCAATGATCTCGACCAATCACAGGCCTCGTAGGCAAATTCAAAATGGAAGTGACCATCCCTACTCTCTACCAACCCTTTAAGTGAGTTGTTTTAAGTGTGCATTGAGTTGCCTTCGTTAACTGACTTCTAGAAGGGCCCTGAAGAGATTCAGATGTGTGCTCTTGAAAGTCCCTACAAATGGCTTCCCCTTCTCGAAGTGCATTTCAAAAGCACAAAAAAAGCCTTATGCTGTTCTTTGGAGTCCTGTGTTGAATTACTTTGCTCTAAATATTGAAGAATTGGTCCATCTTTATATTGGTCTCAGCTTTATTTTTGGTGCTGTTGCCAAATTTTCATATTTGTCACTCTAAAATTTCTGAATCCTTGCACACGGAGTCTGATAGATTTTTTTATTTTTGTTTGTTTGTACATTGCGAGTAGTCAAGCATTGAAGATGATTTTGTGGTCCTCTCTTGATAAAAAGGGAGGAAATATTGGGTCTAAATTCTGATATTGGGTGGAGAGGAAGGAAAGTCCACATTCTTATCAAGTAGCAATTCAAACTTCAATTCAGGATGTCTGTTTCTCTGTTTTGTGTCTTTCTAGTCATTCTGGAGCCACGTTTTAAATGGAGGACAAATCTGTCTTGGTATTTTGCACTTTGCTTGTCATAAAGTGCCTTTTCCTGCAAGACGAAGTGAATCACATTGAACGTTTTGCCGTTTACTAATTGTGACCATGGACCACAAACTGTACATTTTTTGGAAATTTGAGATTTCAATATTTGGCCAAGATACAACTACTTGAAAATGTGGAATCTGAAGGTAAAAAAAATAACTTAAAAATCCAGAGAAAATCGCTTTAAAAAATTTTGTTAAAAAAAAAACAAAAAAACAAAACAAAAAGGTTTTGATTTATTTACAGTAGGAAATTTTTTCAAAAAAAATCTTAATTTGATATTCGATAATACTTTTTGGCTTTAAAGACAAATCTATGATTTTTACCCATAAAGTCTATTTTTTGGCCATTGGCTTAAAGGTTTTGTGGTTCACAACTCAAATTCATGACTTCTCAAAATGTTTGCAATGTATACAAAAAATAAAAATAAAAATCCCAAACAAAACACGGAAAATTGAACCCGAGCTGAACTTTCGGAAACAGTCTTTAGACATGTTTGAAGGAACATTAAGTCTATACATAAAAGTATTTACTAAAATGCATGTCAGACTCAGTGTGCAATGTCTTCGTGTCTACATGCACAACTTTTTTCTCCTATCACACTTATTCTTTCTCCCTTTCAATGGTGTGCCAGCCACCTCCATCTTCCAACAAACATCTGTCTATCCATTCATCCTTCTGTCCATTCTCTCTTTAAAAAAAAAAAAAAAGGAAAGCACCGTACACAGCTTTGCATAACCGTAACAATGCCACACACAAAGAAATTGATATAAACACTATATCGCAGCGGGTGCCAGTGCATGGAATATGTCTCATTTGTCAATAATACACACACATTAAATATATGCTCACAGTCATTCACGAATACACAAACATAGTTGCTTCTCAGAAGCAAAAGCACCTCCCGTTTTATATAGCCAACCTTTAATTGAATCAGTAACAAGGTGAAATGTTCTGGCGCCAGTGATGATGATGATGTCATAGCAGCAGTAACGCCCCATTTCCAGTCTCTCGGGTTTGACATTTGATGGTAATCGAAATGGCAAAACCTTTGTAGCTTCTTGGTCCATCAATGAAGGGCTCAGATCGTGTGTGTGTAAGGGAGTTTAGTCTTCATCATCTTCCTCTCTAAATTTTAGAGTCTGTTAAGAGATGAAATGAAACGCCAACATAGATGTGTGTGTTTATTTGTCCAGACAGGTAAAAGTGTCTCGTATCCGCACCACCTCCGCAGCACATAGGTGACCATATAGCTTATTGTACCATTCAGGGCAACGACCCCTAAAATCAGAGAGAAAGAATAAAAAAAAATATGAGTTATGAAAAAAATTGCTGTTATTAACTTTATTATTATTTTAATTATATTGCATACTATTTATATTATTATAAAATTATCATTGATTAAATTTAAACTACAGCTTAAGTGATATAATTAAAAAATTATAATGTAATGTATTCTTTATATAGTAATAAATGTTTTATTAGATATTATAATGCATGTGTGTTTATATGTGTGTGTGTATATATATATATATATATATATATATATATATATATATATATATATATATATATATATATATATATATTTATTTTTATATATATATTTATATATATATTTATATATATATATATATATATATATATATATATATATATATATATATATATATATATATATATATATATATATATATATATTTTTTTTTTTTTTTTTTTTTTTTTATATTTCCCAAATATTTCCCAAATGATGTTTAACAGAGCAAGTAATTTTTCACAGTAATTCTTAGGGTTTTTTTTCTTCTGGAGAAAATCTTATTAGTTTTATTTCATCTAGAATATAAGCAGTGTTTATTTTTGTAAATCCATTTTAAGGTCAATATTATTTTTTTGATTGTCTAGAACAGGGGTGTCAAACTCAATTCCTGGAGGGCCGAAGCCCTGCACAGTTTAGTTCCAACCCTGCTCCAACACACTTACCTGTAGGTTTCAAACAAGCCTGAAGGACTCAATTAGTTTGATCAGGTGTGTTTAATTAGGGTTGGAACTAAACTGTGCAGAGCTGCAGCCCTTTTGGAACTGAGTTTGACACCTGTGGTCTAGAACAAACCATCATTATACAATGACTTGCTTGCCTAATTAACCTAGTTAATAGTTAAGTCTTTAAATAGCACTTTAAGCTAAATATTAGTATCTTGAATAATGTCTAGTAAAATATTATATACTGTAATCGTGGCAAAAATACAGGAGGGCTAATAATTCAAATGTAATTCAAAAGTAATTTCAAATGTAAATAAAGTAGATATTAAGATTGCTGTGTAGATCTTACCTGCAGTCTATTCTGGAAATGTGTGCGAGGCGGCTCTTGTTGGCTCCGCAGGGCTCGATGTAATAGCGAGATGTCAGAACATTGGCACGGACACCCAGCACTGCTGCGCTCTCGTGATCCACTGACACGCTCACTAAAGTACACACTCCCTTGGGCAAATCTGTCATCCATGACCTGAAACACAACAATAAACACCTTTACAATTACGAAGATCCCCAAAAGCATATTCTAAATCTCAAAACTTTAAAAAGCGTTTCTAATGACCTGAGTACCACGTGGTCTCTTGGCGGATGGGGTGGCATTGAGTTTCTGACATACTGATAGACTTCAGTGTTGTGGTCCAGTGTCTCCACGATCCTGGACTCTAGCAGGTCCTCGTCCCAGCGCTCCTGCTCTCGCAAAATGCGTTGCAGGACATCCTCAGCCGATGCAGGCACATCCACACAAACTTTCCACTGCCGCAGAGAAGAGCCGTCCTGAACCTGCCAATAAACAATGGCATCTCATGGTCATTATCAATTCTAGGAAGATTTAATCCAGCTCTTACTGCAGTCCTAGTTGAGATTTCATTTAAAGTCAGTAGAGATGTTTGGATATCCTTTTTCTCATTCTATGGGCTCAGGGTATCAGATGATACAGAGTACTGATACAGTTGAAGTACTCATACAGTTGAAGTCAGAATGATTAGCCCACTCACCCACTGTTAAATGAATTCTTTCATATTTCCCCCCCCAATTTCTGCTTAACACAGAGATTTTTTAATCACATTTAAAAACAATAGTTTTAATTTCAAATAACTGATTTATTTTATCTTTGTCATGAAGACAGTACATAATATTTACTAGATATTTTTCAAGATACTAGTATTCAGCTTAAAGTACAATTTAAAAGGTAATTAGTTAAGTTAAGAAAATTAGGCAAGTCATTAGACAACAAATCTAATACTTCAAACCAAAAGGTATATTTTAGTAAAAATAAAACAGTGCAACAAATAAATGTTGGAATGGCAGGATCACGTGTCCTCAAATGCGTTAAGTTACTCATATTAAAGCTGTAATTTTTGTGTCACCCCTCAAACTTGCAACATGACAAATGAGACGTATCTCTGTTTTATACTAGCTGATTGGTCTAGTCTGAATTACTGCCAAACTCTAGACATACTACTAGCAAACTCGTAAATATTCATTTACTGCTTCCTGTGTTTGCTTTCCAAGCAGCAAAAAATAGAATTGCGAAGCTTGCTGCCATTGGTAAAAAATAAAAATAAAAAGACTGGTAAAAAATGATAACAGATCAGTTTTTGGGGTTTAAGTACTCCTAGATACCAATGCAATTTTTGTTTTTTAGTGGTATCGGTGACATTTCTGATACTAGTATCAGAATAAGGACTAACATTAAAAACTGTATAAAGGTATACTTTAGCTGCATCCCAAATGACGCACTATACACTATGCTCTTGTCCACTATGTACTTATGCACTTACTCAACAGCACAGTACAGTATACGAGTGTAGTGTCATCCCAAACGGAACACAAATAATTTTTTACAAAGTGGAAATTCAAACCGTTTCCCTGATGACGATTGACGGTTGCCAAATAAGTGGAATAAATGACCAAACTACCAAATAATACCTGCCATGAGTGTAACAGCATTCACCATCGGGAGTTGGTATAATTACTCTCATTGGAGAATTTAGCTTTCAAAATTCTAAATATATAAAGTTGATATATAAAGTTATCCAACTTCAGTGCCAAAACGCTCTGCTCTTTCCGCTACGTAAGCAAAGCAGTGGTCGTTGAGTGTGTGAAGTGTCCAATATTCCACACGTCATTTTAATGGTTGAATAAGTGCATCATCCAGGTATTTAAAGTGCACATATTATTTTTAGAGTTTTCAATGTGAATGCACTACTTGCACTATTTAAACTACAAAATGATGCAGAATAATGCACACATAGGTGATTCGGGATGCACCTTTTGCTTTTTATACATACACAATACAAACTTTGTCATTTAAAGGGAAAACAGAAGATCTTGTGTTTTCTTTCTTTGACGTATCATGGTGTGACTTCAAAAATAAAGAGCAAAAAATAAACCTTAAGAAAATCAGCTAACATTTGTCATCTGCTCTATAAAGTTCACTATTTATGTTCTGCTCATACAAGCCGTTTGAATTATTTAGCAGAACATAGTTTGTCCACATTGAACTTGGCCGTTGTTTTATGGTCAAAAAGTACATGACAGAGGTGCCCAATCCTGTAAAGAGCAATCCATAGCTTAGCTCCAATCCTAGGACATTTCTAGGACTCCAGAAGACCTGCTTCGCATGTGTTTAAATAGCATTTGAGCTAAACATTGTAGGATACTGGTCCTCCAAGAGCAAGATTGAACACCCCTGCTTTATGGGTACATGAAACGCTGTCCAGGGAACTCTGAGTATTTTGGTTAGTGTGAAATGCCAGAACAAGCGACAAACTGATGTCATGGTGGGCTCAAGGCCAAAACAGAGCTGGGAAAACACTCTTTCACATGAAGGGAGCGGAAAAAAAAGAAGAAGTGATGTGCGGAAAAAGACACAGCTTTTCCATTAGGCACAAGCAAGAAAATGCATAAAGGAAGGAAGAGAGAGTGAACATGAAATGGGAAATAGTGTCTAAGTGACAAGTGAATAGGGTGTATATACAGTTCCCGTACCTTCTTGTATGCGAGCTCAGCGTTTTCAGGAGTCGAGCAGCTGTCATAACCTTTGAATTTGTCCTTGGCTTCTTTAAGCAGGCTATCAATACTGTCTTTGAGTAGACTTTGGTAGTTGCAAGAACCGCAGTTTTCCGCCAACACCTCCATCCTCATGGGACTCAAGCCCTGCTCCATGTAAGAGTTCCTACATCGGGACATCTCTTCTGGGATCTGAAAGACAAAGAAATATAATCATATTAACAACTGAATATGGTCACACTTTATATTAGGTTTCAGTTCTTTTAGCTCAATAAACTACTAATTTTCTGCGTATTAATAGTTATTAATGTTGATGGGTTTAGGTATTGAGTGGGATCAGGGATGTAGAATGGGATCATGCAGAATATGTGCTTTTTAACTACTATTAAACAGACAATATCTACACGGTAAGAAAAGAGATCTGTTAATTAACATTTCCCATATGGTTGTAAAATGCTTTATGAGATGTCTATCTCTGCTCTTTTGATATTTTGATGTTGAAAATTCACAGTTTAACAAAGTGACGTTTAGTTGCATTTAAGTTGTTTGAAATAAAACAATGTATAAGAAATAATATATGAAGATTTTAGAGGCTCAGTAATTGTACTTTTTTAGTAATTAACCATTTATTTTCATTGGCTTTAAAGTGAAATAACTGAAGACAAATGTAGAAGGCTGAAAAAAAAAGTTTATTTTAGAAAAGTAATTCAGAGGGCATTTAGAGGCTTTTGCATCTGAACATCTTCTGTAAAATAACAGAAAGTGTACTGGCAGTTTATTAGGTTTTTTTACCGTAATATACAACACCAACCCAGACAATAAATCATTTTTAACTATTTGAAATGTTAATAAAAGTCACTTTTTTGAACTTTTCAAAGTTAAAAGTTGTTGGAAGAAAGATAAAGCTCCTATAATTCAATTCAAACACAGAAATAAATTAGGAAAAATAAAAACATGATTAGAGAAAACTGCTAATTTACGGATATTTTTCAAAGTGTATTATAGTAATAGACCGGTAAAAGAAACTAGTTAATAGCAAGAACTGGTAAAGTTTCACCATAAATCCCTGAAAGCAATTCAGAGCAATCCAATGCAGGTCATTCTGGTTTGGTGGTTTTCGGCCAGTGAAACCAGAGTGTTCCTAAAACTGTTTACACATAGGTAGGTATAAGATGCAATTTTGTTAATCCGATTGCAAAAGAACGAAGCAAAATACAGGTGTAGTAAGGGTTTGAAAGATTTTCAACTTGTCCACTTTTGACCTGTTCAAGTAATTAAAAATGCAAAAATTGCATTTAAAGAAATGCTTGAAAGAGTTCAATCACAAAATTCTGCTTCTTCTCTCCATGTTGATCTAATTCTCAAACATTACTTGTACATAAGATTTGAAATATTTGTCACTAATTATCACTTAATTGTTACTAAATTGTGTTTCACTTACTAAGTAAATAGAACATTTTCAAGAGGTCTGTCATGTAGTAGTTGTTGTTCACTAGCATTTTCTGTCTCAAGTTGGGTTTGAAGGCGAAAACATAAAAAGCACATTGTTTTTTACCAGTGCAGATTCTAACATAAACCTAAAAGTTGCAGTTGTTAAAGCAGACATGAAAGTTGCTGCCCATTGTTATGTTTTCCCTTGTTGGCTTATTCTGCAATATTGGATTGAAAAAAAATGGCTGTATACAAGTACATGCCTGCTATAGATCAGAAGCCAGCATGATATCTTTATGATGGAAAAAAACATTTTGGTGTTTAAGGCCTGATTTTGAAACTGGAACACTAATGTGCCATTTTAAGTTTGAGCTTGTATACAAGCTAGTCTTTTCAGCAGAGACTTATTAAAGAACAGAATTAATTGAAAGAGGAACTCGTGTCTAGTTTATAACATGCAAATTAACATTAGCATTAGCTTCCCCTATGGGAGCTACTAGCAGAGAGTGAACATTGTAAGCTCAATATTACATTACCCATGACAAATCATTACAGTGGCTCACATTTTCAAAAATAAAGAATAGAAACTATTAATAAATTTAAGAGACCACTTGAAAATGTTCTATTTACTTAGTAAGTGAAACACAATTTAATAACAATTAAGTGACAAATAGTGACAATTATTCCAAATCTTATGTACAAATGTTGTCATTTAAAGCTTTTTTAAATTAATATAAATTTAAATATTTAGTTTTAACACAATATCATAGAAATTGTAATAAAAAATATTCTAAAGGAAAAAATAATGAAATGCCCTAAATGACTATATAATTTGTTTTAAATAAGTTTTTGTTGTTTTTAAATTTGGAAAAACTTATCTTTATAAAATAAAACAAATATTTAATAAATAAATGCCCTAAATGACTATGACTATATAATTTATTTTAATTGTATTAGTTTTTATCATTTTTGAAATTTGAATAAATTTGTTCTTAGAAAACAAAAAACAAATATTTAATAAATAAATGCCCTAAATGACTTTATAATTTATTTTATTTTTATTAGTTTTTTTTTTTTAATTTGGAGGAATTACCTTTTAAAAAATAAAACAAATATTAAAATTTTGCTCAAACAAATCTTATGAATTCAGTAAATCCAGAGAACTTAGAATTTTACCTGTTTATATGATGCAATGATTCAAACTTAAGTTTATGAATCTAATCATACCACTAATTATACAAAATCAGAAGATGTTAAAAATGCACTTGATTTGGTTGAAATATTTGTGAAGGGAAGAGAAGTGACAGCAATGATTCATTCCTAAATGGAAGCGGCTCATCCTGTTTGTGTGTGTCTCGTCCATCGCTCTTCTGCCCTTCTCCACTCGGAGTGTTTTTTTTTTGTGTGTGTGCGTGTCCTGTTCTGCTCCCTGTCCTTTTCCTGCCTGACTGACGATGTTTATCATGTCATGGTGCTTGTGCCTTTCCAGCGTTTGTGGAGATAAACTTGTTATCTGCGTACAGCAAAAAGCATTAGCCTGATAGATACAGCGGGCCCAGACCTTCCGCATCAGATTTAGAGGCGGAAGACCTTTAATGCAAGATGCTATCAATCCGTTACTCATTATGAATTATTCACTCTCTTGAAATAGCCCATTATGGAAGAAAATAACTTGCGCTAAAACAATAAGCGCGAATGTCTGGGCGAACATCATGGCACAATGCTGCTTTGTGGATCTTCCTTTCAGTCAGATGCAAATCGAATTTCTTGTGTTTTTCAACTTCTGCTGACTTTCATTATTTTACACTTATCTAGTTAAGAGCTTCCTTCCTGACCTCTGAATGAGCACTAAAAGGGAAAGTGCAGGTCTATGCATGTTTACCTTGCAAAAATTGTTTGTCCTTGACAAACCTGCTGTTAATGTCTGATCAATTTTTCACCAGCTATACAGGCCTGTAGCCAGGGGGGGTTTGGGTGGTTCGATAGATCCTCCCCCCACTAACGAAGGTCTAGAATTTGTCCCATACATCAGCTTATTTGTCCTATTTTGACTGTTAAGCCATAATAAATTGTGAAAATAATCCATGAAAGGCTTTAAGAACAAGCAGAATCTGACGTAAGTGAAGTCATCTTACACTACTGATCTTCTGTATTGTTGTTAAATGAAAAAAAACGTTGTGAAGGAAATTTGGTAACACTTTAGAATATCTGTCCATTAGTTAATTTACTAACATTAACTAAGTATGAATAATCTTGTTCAGCATTTATTAATCATAGTTCAACATTTAGTAATGCATTATTAACATACAAATTCATGCTTGTTCACATTAGTTAATAAGTTAACATGAACTAATATTATTTAACTTAAATAATGTTAACTAATGTCAACAAAGATATAAAAAATGTATTACTAATTGCTTGTTTATGGGCATTAATTAAAATTAACGAATGGACCATTTATTTTAAAGTGTTACCGGAAGTTTTATTCAAAATCTTGGACCTCATGCTTATTCTTCCAATGAAAAAAAAGTTCATGTTAATTCTAATTAGTCTATTGTTATCCATCCAAGTCAAACAAATCATCAAGCTCTACATTATTTATTTATTTATTTATTTATTTATTTATTTATTTATTTATTTATTTATTTATTAATTATTATTATTGTTGATGTTATTATTATTATTATTATTATTATTATTATTTTTATTATTGTTATTTTGTATTGATTGATTGATTTATTTTATTTTTTATTGTTCAATATTTAAATAGCCAAATTCTGACGGAACACAGTTGAATGTGCTTCTCAGTTTGATATTTGCCTAATGACAATAGGCTACTGATACCAATATACATGAACACTATTGTAAAATGTTACATAATATAATATAATATAATATAATATAATATAATATAATATAATATAATATAATATAATATAATATAATATAACATAATATAATATTTTTTTTACTCTAAAAATTGAAACAGTGGTATGAGAAATGTATTTAAAAAATGCATTTCTGACTTACATGTGATGCAATTTAAAGAAATTAAATTAAATGTAAATAAATAAAAATGAAGGTCTTTGTTGTATCCATAAAGAAAAAAACAAAAACAAAAAACATCAATGCCTGCCGTATCCATGGCTGCAAATTGCTGTTTTGCATGTGCATGTTTGTCCTTGTTTGTATACGAAATTAGCAGGGCTTGGTCATTGCATAACAATCTTATTAATCTTTGCTTAAAATACATTCAACAGAAGTCTCTGGTAGCAGATGTGCTAACGTGTTGTAGCGTGAGCGTCTGTTTTTGTCTTTGTACTTGAGACACATCTGGTACAGAGTGATAAGACTATTGTTTTTAAATCTTTACTGACATGGTTTTGATAAAACTGATGTGTGTGAGAGATGGAAGTGTTGTCTGTCTTAATTTTTTCTTAAAACTTGGTCAGCCGAAATGTACTCCAAAGTAAAATGCCGCTCACCTGGAAGAGTTTTCTGCACTCCTGTATCATATGCGCTAAACCATGAGTAGCCGCCAGGTTTTCATTCAGGTCTCTTTGGTCAGGTTTTCCAAGGGTGTTCTTTCTATTCATGACCCTGTGATAAAGAAAACACATGGAAAAAGAATAAATGGATGACATAAAAACAGATGTTTAATGCAAGCACTTATCTAATCTCAGTATGACAACGAAACATTTCAAGCACAGAGCCTTACGCAAGTCAACTCACTATTGTTTTTTTTTTTTTTTACCTAATCTTAGTTTCCTGTTATTCAAGCGAGAAATAACTGAATGGTTTTAAAGGGATTGTTCACCCTAAAATGAAAGTTCTCTCATCATTTACCTGTTCCAGTTTCTTTCTTCTGTTGAACACAAAATAATTTATTTTGAAGAATGTTGGAAAGCAGCAGCCATTGACTTCCACAATATCCTACTATAGATCTCAATTGCTAATAGTTTCCAACATTCTTCAAAACATCTTGTTTTAAGTTCACAAAGTACAGGACAACTTGAAAGTGAACAATTTAGAAAATTCCAGGTTATTCAAGTGAGAAATCGAGTATAACTGTGCGGTTTTAAAGGAACAGCTCGACCAAAAATGAAAATTCTCTCATCATTTACTCATGCTTCAATTGCTTCAAACATGTTTGAGTTGCTTTCTTCTATAAAAAAAACAAAATCATTTATTATGAAGAATGTTGGAAAGCAGGACAATACCCTACTATGGAAGTCAATGGCTAATAGTGTCCAACATTTTTTAAAATATCTTCACAAAGTACAGATGAATTCTCTTGAATGTGAGAATTCTCATTTTTGGGTGAACTGACCCTTTAAGAGTAATTGCACGCCAAATATGATGGCACTTCAAGCACAGATGACACACACACACACCTGGGTGACGAGCTCTCTCTGCGCAGTGTGTTGAGGTGGAAGAGAGAAGGGGCCAAACACACGGCCAGGTTGGTGCAGGTCATCTGGTTTTCACCCACGCTGGCTGTTACATCACTCAGGAAGCACAGCAGAGTCTGCAGTGCCTCGCGGTTCTCGTCTGGTAACAGCAACACAGCAGCCCTTACCGCCTGCAGGCGCTGCTCTTTGGGGACATCTGAAAGCCAAAGGATGTTGCATTAGTCTACTTCCAACACTGTCCATTGGGCTTATTCTTCATGTAAGAGCGGGCGGATTGTTTTTGGCTCAAGACCTCTGGTCTTATTCACTTCCATTAAATTTTAGACGTTAAAAACAGCTTGTTCTGCAGCTTGATGTTGCAAGCAAATATTTAGTAATGATATTCTTCTTTTTCATGTATTCATAAACAAAATTGTTTGTAGAACAAATATTTTGACCATTTTCTGCTGTTTATTATTAATACTCATTTCTCCCATAGGCAGTTTTTCCAATCGTAAGGTACAAAACCGCACTTCCCCATTCCAGAATAAGGTAAATAGGCCTTAGTCAGGTTTGGATTAGATGGCATTTTGAATTTAATGCAAATGAGCTGTGAGGGATAGATCTAGACTGTATGTGTTTTTTTTTTAATTAAGCCTTTAAAAAGTCAAAAAAGTCCAAAAAAGTCCAAAAAAAAAAAAAAAAAAAAAAAAAAAAAATATATATATATATATATATATATATATATATATATATATATATATATATATAGATAGATAGATAGATAGATAGATAGATAGATAGATAGATAGATAGATAGATAGATAGATAGATAGATAGATAGATATAACTAGACAAGTATGTTATGAGAAAAAAGTCAAGTTATGAGAACTAGAAAACATATGTTGCAATTACCACACAATTAAGTTATGGGAACTAGAAAAAACAAGTTATAAAAACTAGAAGTTTTGAAAACTAGAAAAAGTAAGTCATGAAAAGAAAGTCAAGTTACGTAAATAAAAAAAAAAGTTGCAATGACCACAAAATTATGAAAACTAGAAAAAAAGCTATGAGAACTAGAATAATAAGTTATGAAAGATATAAAAATAAGCTATGTAAAATAGAAGAGAATAAGTTATGAGAACTCGAAGTTATGATACCTAGACAAGTAAGGTATGAGAAGGAGAAAGTCAAGTTACAAGAACTAGAAAAAAAATAAGTTGCAATAACCACAAAATTAAGTTAAAATAACTAAAAAAAGTTAAGTTGCAGTGATTAGAACAAGTAAGTTGAAGAAACATGAAAATTATTTTGCAGTTACTTGGAAAAATATCAGTTGGGTTGGCTAAATTTGGTGCATTTTACAGATTTATATAATGTGCATTGTCCTTGATTAAATGCATAATGCACATATGCTTAACATATTCTGATCTAAAAACACAATATGTTTGTACAATAAATACACCCACGGCCCTATTCTTTTTGATTATGTCATTCAGAGAAGGAAGGAAGGGAGTTAGTCCAGATCAGGGAGAGGTTGTCAAACTTCAGAAGTTGAAAATATAAACCATATAAACTGACATTCAGTGCATTATATCTGTATGTTCAGGATGAAGAGTTCAGATACAAAAACCTCTATGTGACACCTAAAATGTTCTAAATTAAGCATTTTCCTCAAGCTTCTGTGTGTAAATTCAATCATTTTACTTTCTTGGCAGATTATTTTCATCACCTTTAACATTAAATAACTGAAGATAAGTATAGTAGGCTAAGAAAAATGCACATATTAGGAGAACTCAAATGCAAAGTGGCTTTTAAAAAGGAAAGAGTGGATTGATATGAACTGAAATGGCACTTATGGAATTGTGTGTGAGTGTTCGTCAGATGATGTCTGTTATTTTCGCCCTTGGGAATGAAAGACCCTGTGTGAGCACAAAACAGGCACACAAACCCTTGCTTTTCTGTGTGGGATGCGGAGACCTCCCTTGTGGTTGGGGTCAGATATATAGTCTGAGAGACATATTTGTGCTGGCTGTTTTCCTCAGAATTTTGGTTGTGGTAACAGACCACTTTAATCAAACAATTTTCTTGAAAATCTGGAGTTATAATGCTGCTTATTGTGCTTTAATGTGAGGTGGAAGACATCTTGTCTCTACAAAATCTATTTCGGGCTGCCCAAGGAAGAACAATAAACTAGAATATGTAATATATAATATATCAGAGTTTCTGCTGGACTTAAAGTCTTAAAATATCTTCAATTGATTTTCTGTGGATTGAGGTAGAAATGTCTTAAATCAGAACAGCAATCCAAAAAAATGTATAATGCTCAGAATGTTCTGTGTTTATAACATTCAGCTATAATGCCATGACTTAATGGAAAACAGATAAATATAAAATTAGGTAAATCAATAGAAAATATTTGCTTCAAACCATACAAAATTTCTCAAGCATGTACCCTGGCATCTAAAAACGAATTTATGAACGGTTTGCCAGAGTGCTGTACGTGTTTGGAGTTGTTCGAGATTCTGATCTTTGAGGTGAGCACGCACACATTTTAGTGAGTGCATGTGGTGTGAAATAGCTGCGGTAAACACACACTAGACCGCTTGTGAGTTACAACTTGGTGCTGGCAATGATTCACATTCTGATTTATAGGTGCCAAAACGTCATTTGACAGCTATTTCCTGAACTTGTTTAGATTTCTTTACCCTTTCGGAATGATTCATCCACCCAAAAACAGGCACCTACTACAGTATAGTACAGTCTTTGTGTAGTTATGAGTTGCCCTTGGGATATGAATTGCTTGGCTCTTTTAATGTCTGAGTTGTTGTTTCGAAAAACCGAGATATCAATGTTTGCGAGTACATTTCGTACAGGTTTATGTCAGTACAAGTGTGTGTGGTCTTCTGAGAAAAGGTGTGTGTTCTTACATTGATAAATCTGCAGGAAGGTATCAGACAGTTTGCTGGTAAGCAGAGGCTCTGGAAGGTCTCGGAAATACTGCTTTAGCATGTCAGCCACGTCATAAGCTAATTGGCCCTCATAGTTGACTCCTCCCCCAACAGCGCCACATGATTCGTTCATTTGGCGAAGGGCTTGGATTCGCGATTTCACCCCTGATTTCCTGAACAATCCCACCTGTTGAGAAAGATTTAGAAAGCTGTTTAGAATAAAATATTGGAATTACGCCCTTAAATATACTTACTTACTCCCAAGGCTGTTTTTATCAAAGTTGATATTTAGCCGCACCATGTCGGTGTTTTGTAACATCTAATTTTTATGAGGTGGGTTATTAACCAAATGTTCAACCCCAAACCTGGAGTGTGTTTCCCAAACATTGACATAATCCGCGGCTGAACTATCATAGTACGATGCATCGTTTGGGAAAAGAACGATGTAGTGGCGAGTGTTTCCCAAAACCATAGTTGCTTTGTCTCAGATCCATCGTTTGAACCACGTTGATTATAACGTCCATAATGAGGAGTAACAACTTCTTCATACCCCATCATTTTTGCGCAAATTTTACACATATAGTCATCCAATATTAGTTATAGTAAAAACATGCACTTACTTTCCATATTAATTGAAAGATATTTAAATGGAACATATAGTGCCAATATTTCCTTTACATATATAATTAAGAATATTCCATATTCTTTTCTAAAACATAAACTAGCTAATAGGGTTGTCGCAATACCATTAATTAATCTTACGATACACCAGGTGAAGTATCACAATACCAAATAGTATTGTGATACTGTAATGCATACCTCAAATTATAAAGAAAACTGTCAGAAAAACTATATGTTACAACAGGTCTACTTAAATGTAATTAATTCAAAACCTTTTATTGAAAAAAGTATTATTTGCACGTCACTTCATCAAATTTTTTTTTCTTTTTGTTTAATTTATAGATAATTGACCAACAAAAATTATGTTAAAATAAAGATACAAATTGTACCAAACAAATAAAAAAATTCCTGTTGCTATTTTGGGGTTTTCATCTAATATATATATATATATATATATATATATATATATATATTTAGATATACTCAGTATTAAGGTAAGAATATAAGAATAGGTAAGAATCCAAAGTAATTTAAAATTTCACTTTGTGAGTCGTTCTGTTTAAGAGATTGTTGCGGTTGTTGTAGCTTCTAAATCATATTGACAGGAACAGAAATAAACTGATTCAGGTGTGTTTGACATGTCGGCAAGCACCAGAACACGTGCAAACTTAAAGGGCTTTACAGACTATTAAAATAAAATGGTCTATTGTTGCACAATCGTGTGAACACATTAGTGACTTTTCGACATGCAACATTGTAGACAGACCATTAATGACGATACTACCGTTTACAAACCACAGTGGCATCGTTAGTATTTTGGAGCCATAGTATTGTGATACTACCATAGTACTGGACCGGTAAACCATGCAATCCTACTAGCTAACACATATTTTAATCTCTTATATAAATCTTATATATATCGTTAATGGTTGTAATTTATAGTTTATAGTATAGTATCAAGATTTTTTTTATTCTACTTAATAATAATAATATTTAGTATTATTATTATTATCAATTGTTATTATTATTATTATTATTATTATTATTATTATTGTTTATTTATTTATATTTTTTTCATTTATTCATTGTAATAGTCTACTTTTACAATTTGACACATTCAAACCACTGCAAAAGTGTTCTAACCAACAGGCCCATGTCATATAGTCGTACATTTCTAAATAAATAACCTACTATAAATTTAATCTATTAACTTATGCTATATAATTATTGTTTCCACAAGCTTTGGAGACGTAAGGTATAATCCGCTTTTAAAAAAAAATAAGTCACCTGTAGCTTTCGCCATGGCTGCGTTCAAAATGGCATTTAATGTTTTCAGTGCACTGCGAAGGGAATGCAATTGTCAATATGAAGATTGCTGAAACTGAACTGTGAAAATACTCTGAAAGCAAATTATGCCTAAGAGGGATGACTTTAATATATATATATATATATATATATATATATATATATATATATATATATATATATATATATATATATATATTTTTTTTTTTTTTTATCATTCCGAGTTTAAATGTTGGAACGTTTGAAAGGGGGGATAACTGGGAATAGAACACAACAAGGAACTGTGCTTCTTACTACAGCTCTAGAAGTGTAGTTACAAGTAAACAAGTTTGCGAATGTTCATTGGAACGATGGATTTGGGAAATGCCAAATCAACAAACTATGTTTGTAATGACTGAACTTGCAACCTTAGTTGGCTAACGATAGTTTTCTAAAACCCACCCCTGGAGGACCAGGACATACACACATACAATACGGACAATTTAGCTAACCCAATTCACCTATAGTGCATGTCTTTGGATTTGTGGGGGAAACCGGGGAATCCGGAGGAAACCTACATGATCACGAGGAGAAAATGCAAACTCCACACACCAACTGACCTAGCCGGGGCTTAAACCAAATGTACATCTTCAATTGTATTATTTTTCTTCATTTGCACAATGCATTCATATTAGCTTTGTTTCTTTTTCAAGCTGCCAGCTTAAAGAGATTGATAACCAGCATCTTTAGGATAACTCCCTACCGCTTCTTACGTAATTCAGATATGTAGATGCCTAATGATTTAATGATTATGTAAATTGCTAAGTAGTTGTTCCATCTGAAACCAGTTTGAAAGAGAGAGAGACTTCTCTTTAGTCCATAGATCACTTGCCTTCTCACAAACACCCATGGAATGGAATGTTAACCATGTAGCTAATTGTGGTAATGTGTAACCAGCAGATATGCAGAACTTTCAGGCCTTTTGAGGTTATTTTGCTACGTGCAAACTTAGGCAGAGCGTGCTGGATGCAAGCAAGTGGTGATAAAACAACAGATGTCTTGTGCTTAAATATGGCCCTGTTGCATGTAGCAACACAACAGGGTACATGCAACTAAACAGCTGTTCAAATAGAGATCAGTTAACTAGGTTGTGACCTTGACCAGACGCTGAGTTTTTTCTCTTGCCTGTTTTAATAACAAATAATCAGACTGTCGTTTGGTGTCTATAGTGGACTTAATATACCACTGTGCAAACCAAAGGCAGGTATGCTATGACGTGTTTTTATGTAATCTTTAAAGTATGTTTCAGCCTGTGTGTACTTGCATACGTGCACGTCTGTCATCTCTCACCTGGTCGAGGCATTGGCTCCGCAGGTAACGCATGGCTTGTTGAATGCTCTGAGGCAGGGGTTGTCCGCTCCTTTGAACTATCACCTGCAGTGGAACGCCAAACACACTCCTGTCCTTGTAGTCGCGAACCTTGATCCGCTTCATAAACTTAGGAACAGCCCTATAAAAGGCACAGAAAATGTATTCGTTTAAATACAAAGTGACATTAAAAACCACAAAGTTTTACACAACTGTTAACGAAAAGGGAGTTTGCATGTCGGTACTTTTGCTAGGTATAGCATAGCAGTAATTATTGTCAGATTTCATAAGCAGTTTTATACAAGTTCCTATATGCACACAGTATGTGTCAACAGGATGCTGGTTTGCAAGTGTATTTAATAGGAAAACTCTAGAAACTGTGGAGCCTCCTAAAGCTGTTTTCACCTTTCAGCAAAAGACAGTCAGGCAGCAAACAATGACTTTGAGCAGATTGGATAAAGTGAAGCAAACATGTGTGGACATCAGTGTGACAGCGTATTTGTTTTTCCGATAGACACTGTGTGTCTGCATTCATTTCATACACTAACCGGCCACTTTATTAGGTACACCTGTGTTACTGCTTGTTAATGAAAATTTCTAATCAGCCAATCTCATGGCAGCAACTGAATGCATTTAGGCATGTAGACATGGTCAATTTAATCTGCTGCAGTTTAAACCGAGCATCGGAATGGGGCGGAAAGGGGATTTAAGTGACTTTGAACGTGGCATGGTAGCTTTTGGCAGACGGGCTGGTCTGAGTATTTCAGAAACTGTTGATCTACTTGCATTTTCATGCACAACCATCAGAGAATGGTCCAAAAAAGAGAAAATATCCAGTGAGCGGCAGTTCTGTGGGTGCAAATGCCTGGTTGATGCCTCATTACAATTGAGGTATGCAGAAGAGCATCTCTGAATGCACAACATGTCCAACCTTGAGGCGGATGGACTATAACAGCAGAAGATCACTCCTGTCAGCTAAGAACAGGAAACTGGGGCTACAATTTGCACAGGCTCACCAAAATTGGACAATTGAAGATTGGAAAAACATTGGCTGGTCTAATGAGTCTCGATTTCTGCTACATTCGGATGGTAGGGACAGAATTTGGCATCAACAACATGAAAGCATGGATCCATCCTGCCTTGTATCAGCGGTTTAGGTTGTTGGTGGTAGTGTAATGGTGTGGCCTCCACAGCCACCAGATTTCAATCCAATACAGCACCTTTAAGATGTGGTGGAATTGGAGATTCACATCATGGATGTGCAGCCGACAAATCTGCAGCAACTGCGTTATGCTATTAGAATCTCTAAGGAATATTTCCAGTACCTTGTTAAATCTATGCCAGGAAGGATTAAGGCAGTTCTGAAGGCAAAAGGGGGTCCAACCCGGTACTAGTAAGGTATACCTAATAAAGTGGCTAGTGAGCGTATATTTTACAAATAGAAACATCCTATTCTTATTCTTACATGTGACGATGTGTAGGTTTGTGTGCGTTTTGTGAATGAGCACAAGAATAACAGGAACAGGACTTTATCAGACTATAAACCATAGCATCACTGACACCAACAGAAAGGAAGGAAAGGGGGAAAATGGAAGCGAGAGAGTCCTCACCAGCTGAAGCCATGTTTGTTGGTGGGCGTGTATCTCTCCAGTAGAGCAGTAAGTTTGAGAAGGCTGTATTTCTGGAGTAGATTCATCTGCAGAACTGACTGACATCCAACTTGTAGCACTGTTGATGACAGACTTGGCCTGTGGGAGCTCTGGAAACTTGGCCAGCGCAGTTTCTGAGTTCTGTAACACAAACATTCATACATATGTTACACCTAACCAAGCTCAAGCAATCACAAAATGTTCCAAACATAGACATTATGCACACATATAAATCAGTGTTTATAAACTGCACTACAGGAACCACACAATATTTATTATGGTAACAGACAGACTCACATGCACACAGTGCAATGTGAATAAGTACATTGACTTGCACATATTGTGTATACACACATAAACACAAGCTAAAGGATCAGCTGCAGATAACAGGGATTAATCAAGGCCTCTATCACCAGGTGGGGGCTGTTAGAATTCCTGTGGCGCATTCCACTAGGAATCTGTATCCTTCAAGTATCCCTTGTTATGTAAGGAGAGCCGTTCTGACATGCTCTCTCACTCCCTCCCTGTGCCTTAATTCAATGTGCTATATTGGCATGATAGCTTTCCACAGAGTTCTTCCAAAGCTTTAAACTGCTACAGGAATAGTTTAGTTGAATTGCCAATAAGAAAACATAAGACTACTCGGTTAGCGTGTCTGTTTGTGTGTATGTATGAGTTTTACCTGTTGGCTCGAGTAAGTGATGCTTCAACTCCAGAGTCACATCTTTCACGTGAGCTGAGTGTCTCATCTCTTTCTGCTAATGGGTTTCCAGTGCTGTCCTGGTCGCTGCCATTCTCTGTCTCTTCTAAGCGGTTCTGCAGTGGAGATGATGGACAAGGAGATGCAGAGTCAAGGGCTGAATCTGAATCTCCTTCCTCTTCCTCTTCATCCTCCTCCTCTTCCCCAATTCCTGTTTCTGGCCATTCATTGACCAGTTGCTGCAGACCTCTGACTCGCTCTAACACATCCTCCAGTTTTGGTTCCTCCTCTCCTACTTCGTCCTCATCATCTCCCACTTCCGAGAAAGGAACATTATCATAGATACTCATTCGACTGTCTAGTGAAGCAGAAGAGCCCCTCCGGGGTGGGCGGCGACTTGTGTTGTCAACACCATGATAGGATCCTCCATCCGCAAGTGCTTTAGGAAAAGTGCCAGGCTTGTGGCCTTCAGGCAAATAGAAAAAGATCACACCTCCTTCCTCTACGCGACTCTCTTCATCCTCCATTTGCCTATTATCTGAACTCTGACGGTTGCGTCGATTGTTCTCATCAGTTGAGCTGGGCTCCTTCCTCTTATTTTGGGTCTGATGGTTCTCCTTTACATCTTGGTCTTCAGAAGGTTGCAGCACAACAAAGTTAAATGGGTCAAAACCTTCCAAGTACATCCCACCTCTCTTGCTGGACCCGGCTGCTGTGCTGTGACTACGTGCTCTTGAAACTGGACTGGGCGTACTTACAGCACTCCCACTGCTAGCTTCTGATTGGCTACTCCCTGCACTCCCACTGCTTGTTTGCGTTGAATAGGAGATGCTTCGATTTCGGTTTGCATTTCGATCCAGAGTTGCGATGTCAACACAGTTGAGCCGACGCAGCTTGTCTTCATCAAGACCCTCCTTAAGCACTGGCCCACTGATCTCCAACCTACCATGCCCAGGAACACCTTTCTTCTTGCGCTTGGAGCCTGCATTGCTACTGGTGCGTAGACGTAAACTTTCCATGCGTTTTAAAAAGCTCTTTGCTCTTGACCGTGTGCTTTTTTCAGCTGCACTACTTATCAAGTTTGGTTTTACATCAAAAGCAAAGGTACCACGTTCCAGGGGCGATGGAAGCCCATCAGACATGGAGTCTTCATTGGCACCTGATGTTCCAGAAGAACAGACACTGGCAACTGAGCTTGCTCTTGTTGTGGTGGCTGTATTAGCATTGGAGATGGTTGTAGCAGGACTGGATGGTACAGTGGTACTCAGTGATCCTCCTCGACCTCCACTACCAGTACTATGCAGAGATCCCACCTCTGGCTGCTCGCTAAGGTCCGTTAAGATGCTCTCCACACTGGCATTAACACCCTCCTTTTGAAGGGGCCCTCTAACAAAATGCTCATCTTGGGATAGGAATGCAGCGAAGGAGCCAGTGTCCCCTGCAGTAGGGGAGAATACATCAAGGTCCAGCTGGTCCATGCGAGACCAGCGCTTGCTGTCTCGCTGGAAAGTCCAACGGCCACTTATGGCACATGGCTCATCCTCATCAGAGTCTTCACTCTGAAACGATATGGAAAACAGTTATGTCAACACATTGTGTCAAACATGATCTGATTAATTTCCTTAATTTCATGAGGAATTGATCAAGCTAGGTCATATTCCTGAAACCTGGTTCCACTAACTGAAAAAAAAAAAAAAAAAAAAAACTTTTATTGTGGTTGGCTTAGCTATGTCACAGCACAGTCACATGCACACCATTCCTCCTCTCTGCTTTACTCGGGTTAATCTATCTCCTCCCTCAGGGCGGTAGGGATGGAAGGAAGGGGGTGGTGGACACAAAATTCCAGACCAGCTCTCAGGGTTCACACCCCAGCCTGAGAGGGCAGGTCTGGTCCCATCCCCCATCAATGCAATCACCTCAAGCAAGCCTGGAGAACAACATATACTGTGATGGACTTCTGGACAAAGGAATTAGATGTGTCATATACATGTTTTGCTGTAATGCTGGATCTCTGTTATTAACTTTAGCTGAATAGATTACAGCCCAATAAAATTATATAATTTTCTAAAGTTAGTTAATCCTAAAATATAGAATTGGTTGACAATCGCACCTAGTTGAGTTAGTTGATATGAGTTTAGCTGTTGAACAGACTTTTTGTCCTGGAGCCTTGACTAATCAGCAAAAGCAAAACTAGCTAGCCGGTTAACAGGGGGTCGCGGGATCCAGAGGTGTCTCCTTCACGGTTCATAATAACGGAGGCGACGAAAGTCCGTAAAACCTGGGTTGTTATTTTATGGCCCCTGAGGGCAAGCCTTTGATCAGAAGAAACGAAGACCTGGAGTGCAACGTTTCTTCACTGCCCACCACAAAATCCACTATTAATTCAAAAAGACGGTTTTGACTTTAAAATAAGCTGCTTGGACAGGAAGATGAGGAACAGAGGAGGACTCTAGAGAGGCCACCTGAACAGATCAGTGCATTCCAAGAATGGTTTCTGCTTGTATGTTTGAAAAGGGCAGATCACTTCCTCAAGTCATCTCCTGACCTCTACCTTTGACTCCATCAACACAAGATGACACTAAAGGGTCATCAGCTTTCTTAACAGGACGCACACTTGACAAAGCTGTCATTGTTCAGACTTACTAGTTTTAAGAACAAGAAAAAGAAGCCGCAGTGAGACATGACGGTTATCTTCCTAAGCTCCCTGTTGTGATTACATAGTTGGCTTGTTTGTTGTTGCATTCTAGACCTGCATGTAGTTTGAGTCATGGCTTTGGGGCAGTCTTAGACTATACACACTCGCTCTTAAACCACGCCGACAAAGCGGCGGACTGTGCATTCTCTTCCTTTTATGGTGTTGAGGGGGTTTTAGGATGCGCATTGTGAGAAAAAACATGACAAACAAGAGTAAAGAAAATCAAAAGAAGGAGAGGAGTTAACGACAACCCTTAATTAGGACATTCTGCACTTCCTCATAATTAACCATCATGCAAAGCAAACAAAAGGTTAAGGCTCTTAGGATTTCTGACTGGACATAAGAGTGAAATAATTCAGCAAAATAAAGGGAAAGGGGTTTCTGACAAAACACTTACTCTCTTTCTTTGAGGGGTGATCTCTAATCTCATAAGAGCGCACTTGTTTAGGGTGTTCAGTCTCCTGCAATACACACAAATGCAGATAAGTGAGTAAAACAGTCACAGTCATTTTTTCAAGCAGATGCATTGAAAAGGACCATGGGGTCACAAACAAAGGCTAAATCCAGTCATTAGCCAACAAACAGACTTTTCCAGAGTCAAATCCCTGGACAGAGACAGAAAGAGATAGGGGAGAGTGAGGGGGGTGGAGCAAGAGATAGAGATACAGAAGAAGACAGAAAATGATGAGAAGAAGATGAGAGAGGCGGCAGTCAAGCCTGATAATGAGCTGCTGAGGGATAAACTTCAGATTAAGGAGGAAGACATACTGACAGAGAATAAAAAAGGAAGAAAAGAAAAAAAAGGAGGCAATCTGGAGTGGCGACAACAATACAACAAAAGAGACGGAAAGCTTATCCTAGAAGCCACCTGGTTGGTGTCATGTGACCCTGAGTTGGGGGGGAATGTGTGTTTGTCTACATCAGGGGGCTGGCACCAGAAAATGTCTTCCAGATGTCTCAGTTCCAGCTGGTCTATGACGGACCTCGCTCTGATTGTAGATGCTGAGGCCTTCACTTTCTCTTTCTTTCTTTAAATTATTCAAAGCTAACAAGTTTGACATTTTAAATATCAAACTGAAATCTAAAGATGATCAAAATCAGCTTATTATAAACATGGGAAAATGTAAGAAAAGTATGTTTACATATGATTTATTCACACTTTAATTTTACAGTGTCCTTGTTACATGTAATAACAGTAAATAATCCATGCAATTAAACCTAACTCTAACAATTTGAACATATTAATATTACTCTGTCCACAATAGTAAGGACACTGTAAAATAAAGCTATGCATCTGTGTGGACTTTCTATATTTTAAAGAGACAGTTCACCCAAAACTGAAAATGGTCATCAAATAATTGTCCCTTATTTGTTCTAAGACTCTTTCTTTCTTCAAATTGCAAAAGAACACAAATAAAATATGAAAGATAAAATGAAATATTTTGAATAAATCTGAAAACCTGTAAGCATTGACTTCCATAGTATTTTTTCATACTATAAAAGTCAATAGTTACAGGTTTTAAGGTTTATTTATACTGCACTTTTACAGACATTAAGTCACAAAGTGCTTTACATTAGAAGAAAACCAGAAAACAGAAAAAAGAACACATTTCAATCAAAGAAAACATTAAAACAAATTAAAAATCCAAGTACAGAAACACTAATACTGTTAATTAAAATCTTGAGCAAAAAGATGTGTCTTTAAATGCTTTTTAAAACGACTCCCAGAGTTCTCAGTGCTATAGGGAGAGAGTTCCAGAGCCTTGGGGCCACAACACACAAGGCACGGTCACATTTAGTCTTAAGACGAGTTCTGGGAATGGCTGAAAGGTCTTTGCCAGAACACCTCAGATACCGGCTACATGAGCGACTACGTAAAAGATCTTGAATATAAAGGAAATATAAAATATTTCTTCTATGTTAACCTGCTTTGACACAATCTATATTGTAAAAGTGCTATATAATTAAACATGAATTTAATGCAATTGAAAAAAAAAAATTCTTTAGAGTTTAACAGATTAATGAATTTTGTAAAGTTTTGGAACCACTTGTAAGTGAGTAAATAGTGAGTACATTTAAATGGTATGATAAACTATCACTTTAAACATACACATGCTTTAATGAGTTTTAAACTCTGCCTAAAATTAGCTTAATAATCATTGTCTTTTTTAAAAATGTACGTGTCTCACCTGCACAAGGCTTCTATGGCATCTTGATCCAGGAAGTCGTGATCTCTGGTAACTGAGGAAATCTCAATCGGGAACTGACCATCTGAGAAAGAGAAGGACATAAATTAATTTTAAAACAACTGATCATTTAAGTTCCGGTGTGTTAATGTATATTATATTATTTTTTTCAAATTTATTATTTATTATTTGTATTTTTTTCGTTTCCTTCTTCTTCCTTAAAAAATTGAAATAAAAATAAAGTATTAAAAATAAATCATTTAAAACTTATTTCATATAAAAAGGATGGAGGCCCAGTAAACAGTATGACATGTATGGAAGTGGGTTGTTGGCAGCAAGTGGAACGAGTGCTATCCATCATATGCGCACACACACATAAACCTCCCCTCCTCCGGTGTTGAAATGGTAGAGGAAGTACGTCTTAGCCAGCCAAACAAACACAGCTGCAATACTGCAGCGGCCAACAGTGGGAGGTGTGTGTGCGTAGAAAGGGGGTGCTGGAATCACAATAGGTGCATAGCAACCCTCAGACTGTCATTATTAACTGAGTCTTTACACAACTCAAGCTCATTAATTAGATTTTTAGGGCAATTCAAAGTCATAACTTTACAAGGTTAAACACGTCAATGTGTACGTGCATTTGTACGATAACCTATGGCAATTTGATTTTCTCCGGGAAGACCTTTTACCTTACTGTACTGGCTCAGTTTTATCTAAAGTGATGAAATCATAAAAGCTTGGCCACACAATTCAGATTTCTAAAACTGATAACACACCTCGCACGTGGCAAAAAGGCGGGAATCAGTAGGTCAAAAGTGTGTGATGTTGGACTACTAAAGTGTGGCATTATCAGTTGTAAATTACAGCAATTACTCTTATATAAAACACAGTGCCACCTCAGCCGAATCATTTACACACCTTAGGTGTAGGTTAATTGTATGAAAATAAGATAGAGGCAATGACAATGATAAAAGGATTAAATTAAATATAGCTTAAATATTCAGAGGAAACAACCTTGTTCCATATTTAGCATTATTATTATTATTATTATTATTATTGCAAAATTCAACAAACTAAATTGTAAACAAATGTCAAAGTTAAGTTGGCAGTTAACAGTTTTACATCTTCAATAATGAAAATTCCCTCTTTACCGGCCTATTTAGCATCAACACTTCTTATTCACTTTGATAGGGTGATGTCAGGCGTTGCCGAACTGCATTGTGGATCCTTAGGCACCGCTTAAGTGGCATTGCTTGCTGCAGAAGTTGGAACTTTATCAACTTTTCAAGCGCCAATAGAAGCGTCAGCCAATCAGATCACTTCATGCAAATACACCAGCTCAGACAGTGGACAAATTTAATTGGCTGACGCTGCTATGATGATCGTGGATCGGGCATAAGTATGATATCATCTTGACTCTTTTAAAACCCTTTTAACTACTTTACTGGGACAGTAGGAACAAGACCTGATTAAGAGAAAATGGGAAAACGAGAGGGACATTAGGAAATTAGTAGGGCTGGGTGATTAATAAAGTAATCGAAATCAACATTTAGAGGCTATAATTGATCTATTTTTTCCAGGTCGATTTTTGTTAATTACTTACCCTACGTGTCACGTGACCTCGCTCTGTTCTTTACTTTTGTGTTACCTTGCACAACATTGTCGATGATTGTAAGCTATGCCAGACATGCCTTAAGCAGTATATTTTCCATTACATTAAACTTAATATTGAAATTAAAACATTTGTTTACAGAAGATGCAAGTCATGCTGTTTAAAAGATTATTTACAGGATACACAAGAGTTATTTTATTTAGAAGAGATGCTGCTTATTTTCTACTTTTAATATGAAAAACATTGAAAAAGATTCAAAAGTGTGGGTTGCGGCTGGAAGGGCATCCGCTGTCTAAAAATGTGCTGGAAAAGTAAGTGGTTCATTCCGCTGTGGCGACCCCGAATTAATAAAGGGACTAAGCCGACAAGAAAATAAATAAATGAATGAATGAATGAAGATTCAAAAGTGCAAGTAATTTATTTTCTTAAGTAAAAAGTGACTGTTGGGTTTAGGCAGTGTGTGTAAAATAATAAATAAATAATTATATAAAGTAGATAGTCTGTGTGTTTACTTCAATTATTTTAAAACCAAGTCAAATGTTCTATAATTGAAATTTTGATTTTAGGCCAAATCACATAGGAATTAGCACAATGAGTGCATGGATTAACCATTAAACCACACCATTCTTATTTGTTTTTAAAAGAAAATGCACGCTAATGATGCAGAGGATAAAGCTTAACTGATCAATGTAAAAATATAAGATATCAGAGAGATAGTCGTCCTACCTTCATAAAGCTGAGCATACTGTGGAAAACCTGCAGCCCTCAGCCATGTACACGCCTCCTTCGCCTCAATTTCTGCAAGACAGAGAGGGAGATTGACATTAAAGATCATTTCATACAAAAACAGTAAGATTAAACATACATCGCCAAATCATTTAGTGGACTCATCCACTCACGCTCAGTTCTACGCTCAGGTTATCTTGACTTGTTGACCTGGCACTATAGTGCAACGTTTAAGACAGCAGTGCTAAGTGACCATTTAAAACACTCAAAACTATTGTAGGAGTTGTTGTTGGCGAGGCGCCACATCCCTATCCATTAACTGTGAATGGCACTTTAGATGCCACATGCCAAATGGCAAACACCACCGAAAGCATCTTGACTCATTCTGGAGGTCCGTTTCACACAGCAAGGTGTCAGAGTTAGAGGTTTAACTGTGACTCTGTCACTAGAGGCGATTATCAGACTAGCAACACTTGCTCTCTGTATGTACTTGCTTAAAAATGTATATACGAAACCAAAGAGTAGTATGAAATTACTAAGCTAGGGTATTGTAAAGGCAGCCCAGTCATAGTGTGTGTTTGTTGGACTATGTGATGGTGAATGGGCAGATAAAGATCTCTAAGATTGCTGAAATGAACTCAAGCAGGCATGACGCAGGAACTGGCGAGTTACTGAGATCGCAATCATTCCTGATAGCCATTGTGCCCTTGAGCAACACACTTAACCTCAGGTTGCTCTAGGGGGATTAGTTAATACATGTTTTGGCTGAAAAAAAAGCATCTAAACTCTTTTTGTGTTGGTGTTGAAGTGCAGGAGAGACCCTATCAGCGCCCTCTAAAGGTGTAATGCCTCTCTCCACCAAATCTACTGCAGTCTATCACAAGTACAATCTACACAATTACAGCACACAATAGGCTGTAATCAGCAGAAAGGGACCTCTTGCTTTTCTTTCCGGCTAATTGCACAAATTCCAACTCTTAAAATTCCAATTATTCTAATTGCGATGATGCCGTGCACAACTGACAAGACCACCTGAGACAGGTTCCCCATCATTTCAACAGAAAGAAAAAGAGGCCGGGGATTAGGATGGACTAAATAAAAGAGACGTGAGAGAAAGACGTGTGTAAAAAGACACTGTCGACTTTGCCCAGAGGAAAGGACACAGACTCTGCCTCTACTAGCGGGGATACGTGACTCCCCACTCGAACAAGCGTGAGAGTGACGGCACGCATGACAACAACAAAGGCATGCGATAAGGGAGGTACTGCTCTACTCTCTACTGCTGCAGAGAGAAGAAGACATCATCAGAGAGGGAGTATTTCAAAACGTGCTTTGACAGCAAGAACAACCATGGTGAAAATAACATAAGAGACCCAATCGCACACAACTGTATCGCAATTCTCAAAACTTCACATCAATATCTTGGGATTCCTCTCAAGCAACTGACAGAATTTTGCCTAGAAGCACTCTCTCTTTTTTTTTTTTTGGAGTTCATGAACTTTAAGGAATGTCCTACACTTAAAATAATGACACACTTTTCTGGAATGGTCTGTAATAAGTGCGGCGGCTTCCTGTGCGTGTCTACAGATGTGTGCTAGCTGCTAGGCACCACTGAAGATCATCCAGCTGCAAGAATGTTATGCATTTAAATGTAAATGATGGAGGGAAACACAAACACACAGACTCCACAGCAGTGTCTCACCGACTGGCTTTTCCATTCAATGGCAAGTTCTCCCCCGTCTGATTACAAAAAAGGTGCCTGTCTCACACCAATGGTAAATAAGGATCTCTACCCAGAGACGGCATCACAAAAATCAGGCAGAGACGTAAGAGATTACTGGCCTTTTTCAGGTGAAGCGTCTAAGACCCAACCCAAGTTTTTCCCAACCCCATGGACCCTTTTCACAAGACTGTTATGATGTGTGTCACAGTCATCGTAATATTAAATCCTTGAAAGTTTTAAATATTTAGATTTTTTTTTAATCGTATGAACATTTATATGCAGTTATGAATGTATTATATCATCAACAAATACAAAAAAAACAAAAGAAATGACCATTTATGTGAGGTGTTACTAATGCAGCATCTAAGGGAATAAGAGTAAATTTGACGTCTGTTTCTCTTCTGGCCATCAGTCACATTATTTTTCCCCTTTTCTGAAGGTCTTGATAGCACCATCATGGAGTTTTTCTTTTATTTATTTCAGCAAATAGGGTTGTCAAAAATAATTTGTTGTACTCTCACTGCGCTCTAAGTTTACCCAGCTATGATGCCTTTCATTACTGAGAAACCCGGAAAATGGGTTCCCATTCCCACAGTGACCCCAACTCTAGACATTGTTGAACCCTTCCTAATCAAACACACCTGAATCAGCTTATTATGCCATTAGCAGACACTTCAAGACTTGAAGTGGATAGGTCAAATAGGGGAACATCTAAAACGTATGTTGCTGAGGAGCATTTACCAACGCTCAAACAATCCCCCTTGATTCCAGTAGGAATCCTCATTGTCTAAAATTCTAATTGAGCGTGAAAACTATTTCCAGCAGAGATTTCACTCGATTTCAAGATGGTCACCATACCGACTAGCAGAAAGCAGTTTGATTTCTATTGACAATGTTACTCTAGGAAACAGAAACCATAAGCAAGTCTTTATTTAATTTCAGGATGAAACAATTAAATTTAAAAAGAGACATATGGTGCTCAGCATAATTGAGTACACCAAATTTTGAAAATGATTATTTTCATCCATTTTTTCAATGTATTTTGGTGCACTTAAACAAAACAGATTTATTAAACAGATATATTTATTAAAATAATATTTTAGTAAATATTTTAAAATACAATTAAATTCAAGCAAAAAAAATGGAAATATATATATATAATAAATCTAATAAATTGTTACATTTTTAGCTTTTCTTGATTTTTCCTCTTTTTTAAATTTGTATTTAATATTTTTCTATAACATATAAATTTGGGTGTACTTGTTTTTGAACCATTATCATAAGTTATTTAGTTAGATTAGCTCCAGATTTGGCTTAATAATCTAATGTATATGCACAGATATTATATTGTATAGCTTCTAGGCATGGGCCGGTATAAGATTCTGAAAGTATTATTATCTTGGATAAAAATATTACAGTTTTGCGATATTGTGATTACTGTATATATTCTTTTTAAATCTCTGGGTAAAAAACAAAAAAAAAATCCCTTTTGAACACGATATGTTTTATTTTGAGAAACATTTAAAATATTTTGGAACAGTAAACATGTCAGTCTAAATTAATTATTGACTTTTGCTGTCTTCATATGTATAAAAACAGATTTTTTTAAAATTTGATCTTTGGATATCTTGTCTGCTGGAGATACTGTTGTCCTAAAAAACTTCATTAAAAATAAAGTAAATAAAAAAAAATCTTACACATACTTTAGGAACGATATTGCAGATACTTTTGATGGTTTTAAAACCGTGACTTTTCCAAACACCTTGAAAAGCGTTATCATCCCATGCCTAAAAGCTTCCTATTAAAAATATGAACTTAAACGATGGATGTGTGGGGGGTGTACTTCTATATGCTGAGCACTGTAATTGGAGACTAAAATATAGAGTTAAACTCCTTACAGAGTACATTAATCACAGCTGTACACCCACAAACACACTTCAACATGCTGTCTTTATGAAGATAGATAAGTGTAAACACACTTGAGCAGTTGTTTCTGACTCTCTAACACTGCTGGATGTCAAGCAGATGAGTTCAGGCTGCTGACACCGTCTTTTCACCATCTCAGCATTCAACGCCATACACACATCCGCGCTTAAAGCTCGAATATGGGCCACAAGTGTAGAGATTGTGTTTGTGTGTGCACGTCGCATCCTGAGTTCTCCCCGCAAGTCTGTGCGGATCCCTGCGCCAGGCGGCGGCCGCACTTCCCTTGCCTTTCCGAGGCTGACGGGAAGCCAATAAGAGTGGCTCATTCCATGGTTGCCATGGTCACTTTATAGGACACACCTCCTTTTGTTCAAGGCCAGATAATGGAGGCCTTCAGCGCCAACACAAACACAGAGAACGCCTTACATCCTGTAACACACACACACGGAATGTCGAACGTTCGACCTCAGAGAGAATGAGAAATAGGTTGAACCTCCCCAGTAAAGTAAACAGCCTTTGATTCTTCCTTGATTGTAAAGCACATGCGTTTATATTTAAAGGAAACTATAAATTTCAGTTACAAACACATCAGATTAGGCAATTGGAGCAACATTGTGTTAAAAGGCAGATTGACGTCAGTATTACTTCACAGAGTTGGATGTTCTAACACTTTTCCTCCTGTTATGATGACACATTGTATGTTTCCAAGCCAAAAAACCTTATCCCAGAAGACCTGTACATGTAATTTTGTCAAAGATGTGAACAGTTACGCAAGTAATAGGACATCTTCATTATTAAGCAACAGTTTAGTCATCATAGAAACAAAATGACCTTCAAGAACTGAACAAAGTAACTTAGCGGTGACCAGTGCTATTGTTTGGCCTCTATTGGAGTTGCTGATGTTAAAATCCAGAGCTCATGTTAGCTAATAGTTGATATAATTATCATATGCAAAAAATATTATAATATTAAACTAGCTGTTTAAAATTACTACAGACCAAAATCTTGCTTTTTTATATGAAAAGCCTGTTCTTTCATCAAATAGCTTTGATTAATGCAAAAAGGAGTCAGGAATCATCATCACCAGCACCTCCCATCTCTCTTCCTCTCTCCACCAGCCTTAATCTACTATCCATCTGCTTCATATCTTGGTGCCAGCCGCCTAGTGGATGCATGACCTGTGACCTTTGCAATGGGACGATGACCTGAGTCCAGCACACAGGATGTCTGGGCGGTATCCGTCACAATATCATATGCCTTTGTGGTGGATTCTCATTTCATAGTTTTCACTCCATCAAGTGCTTCCATGTGTATCAAATGAAAAAATAATATTTTTTTGAAAAACAAAACAAGACAAAGAGACAGAATACAGCCTCCAGACCCGGAGACAGAAAGACAGACATAAACTCATGGGAGAACGTCC